CATTCAGTAAAAAGGAATTTATTTTTTAGGTAATTTATAAATATATAGAAAGGATTCATAAATCAGTGGTTAATTATATATAAATTATATATATAGTAGTTGTTCTATGTAAAAATTTGTTACTTCTTGAGGTTCTGACTTAACGCAAAGTAATAAAATGGCAGGGTTCCGGAAACCAAAGAGATGGGGAATTTATATAATGAGCATTTTGTCTGAGCCATACTTCCTAGAACCCATCATCTCTATATAAGCGTTCTGGTTCTAGGTTTTTCCATTATTATCTGTAGCTTTGAAAAACATACTGTGTGGGGCTGGCATTGTAGCCTAGCGGGTAAAGCTGCAGCCTGCGACACTGGCATCCCATAAGTGCACCAGTGTGAATCCCGGCTACTCCACTTCTGATCCAGTTCCCTGCTGATGTGCCTGAGAAAGCAACAGAAGATGGCCCAAGTGCTTGGGCTCCTGCACCCCTCTGGGAGACTGGCACAGCTCCAGTTATTATGGTCATATTGGGAGTGAACCAGCAAATGAAAGATCTCTCTCTCTCTCTCTCTATCACTTCCTCTCTGTGTGTGTAAACTCTGCTTTTCAAATAAATAATCTTTTAAAAAACAGAAAAACATATTTTGCTCTTTTGAGTCTTGATTTTCTTTTTTTATATGTACAATCAAGCTACTTTTATCTGTGATGATGACTTTAAAGGATCATTAGAAAGGTCAAATAATGTGATGATGAGATGATGAGTCATGAAACTACTAACTCCATATAATACAAGGAATTTTTTTTTTTTGACAGACAGAGTGGATAGTGAAAGAGAGACAGAAAGGTCTTCCTTTTGCTGTTGGTTCACCCTCCAATGGCCGCCATGGCTGGCGCGCTGCGACTGGCGCACCGCGCTGATCCGAAGGCAGGAGCCAGGTGCTTCTCCTGGTCTCCCATGCAGGTGCAGGGCCCAAGCACTTGGGCCATCCTCCACTGCCTTCCTGGGCCACAGCAGAGAGCTGGCCTGGAAGAGGGACAACCGGGAAAGAATCCGGCACCCCGACCGGGACTAGAACCCGGTGTGCCGGCGCCGCTAGGTGGAGGATTAGCCTATTGAGCCGCGGCGCTGGCCAGGAATTTTTAACATTGTGCTGTTTTGTTCTTTTTCTTTATTTGGAGTATATTAAAGATTAGAGTTTATATTTGATTTTAGGACATCATCGCCTGGCTTGTTGTTGCTCAGGAATCTATCTCCACCTTAATTTATCACAGATTTTTATTACCATCACTACTTACGTGCTCAGTTTTTCATGTTTTCTATTCCTCAATTTGGCTAAAGGCACAACTGCCATTACCTATGTCAGAAAGCTTGGAGTGATCCTAAACTTTTTTCTTTGCTCCAGATCCAAGTATTCATCAATTCCAAGTCATTTAAGTTGCAATGTATTATATACCTTGAAATATTCAAATCTGAAGATTCATCTTCTAAATTTAGTGCTGTATTGCTAGAAATTTGATTTCTTCACTCCACCATTAACTACAGTGGATCTACAATTCTGTTAAGCACCCATAAACTTAGCCTGGGATGATTAGTTCTCACTCTGGCCACTTTTCCTCCTCAGAAAGCAATAAACCATAGGAGATAATTGTGAGATGAAAGTTTTAGTTTTTGTTGTCATGCTATGGTGCCTGACAATAAATACCATTAACTGAAAAAATTAGATATTGAAAATATTAATACCTGGACAACTCATTGCGAGCAGTTTAGGCAAGTACAAGACTGAGTAATAGTCAATGTAACAGTTAACATTTTTAGGTATTGCTATGCACTAAACACTTTACCTGCTTTACCTCATTTATGCCTTTACAATGAGCCTAGGAGGAGGTTAGACGTTATCTCCATTTTACATATTATAAAAATGACAAATGAGGCTGGCACATTTGATGCAGGCACCCCACATAGGCACACTGGCTCAAGTCCTGGCTGCTCCACTTCCAATCCACCTCCTTGCTAGTGCACCTCAGAAAGCAACAGAAAATTGTCCAAATACTTGTTCCCCTGCCACATTTGTGGAAGGCCCAGATGGCATTTACAGGCTCTTGGCTTTGGACTGGTCCAAGTTTCAACCATTTGGGAGTGGACCACTGAATGGAAGTGCTCTCTCTCTCTCACTTTCAAATAAATAAATAAATCTTTAAAAAATAATATGATTTCAAAACACACTCTGTGACCCTTATTCCTCACCCATAAAATGTGAATAATAAATAATACTGTCCTGAGTTCACATCAAGTGTTGTAAAAGTTATATGAGAATATATCCATATCCTATTTCAAAATTTATGTGGCACTGATCTATTATTTAAAAAACAAAAATCAAGGCCAGCGCTGTGGCGCAGCAGGCTAAGCCTCCGCCTGCAGCACCATCCCATATGGACATCAGTTCAAGTCCCTGCTGCTCCTCTTCCAATCCAGCTCCCAGCTGATGGCCTGGGAAAAGCAGCAAAGATGGCCAAAGTGCTTGGGTCCCTCCACTCACATGGGAGACCGGAAAAAAGCTCCTGGCTCCTGGCTTCTGGCTCCTGGCTCCTGGCTTCAGATCAGCCCAGCCCCAGCCATTGCGGGCATTTGATGAGTGAACCAGCAAATGGAAGACCTCTCTCTCTCTCTCTCTGTAACTTTATCTCTCAAATAAATAAAATCTTTTTTAAAAAAAATCAAAGATCAGCTGGGGTGTTTAGATCTATTTATTTATTTTTAAAGACGTTTATTTTTTGAAAGGCAGATGAGAGAGAAGATATCTTCCATCTGCTGGTTCACTCCCCAAATGGCTGTAGCAGCCAGGTCTGAGCCAAGGCAAAATCAGGAGCCAAGAACTCCATCGTGGTCTCCCCACGTGGGTGACAAGGGGTTCAAGTACTTGGACCATCTTCTGCCTTCCCAGGCAAAGTAGCAGGAAGCTGATTCAGAGGTGGAGTAACTGGGTCTCAAACTAGCACTCCAACACGGGATGCCAGCATTGCAATCAGCAGTCTAACCCACTGGACAACATTTAGGGTAAAAATTATTAATAATAAGATGAAATTGCTTCTGTATGTAAAGATAATTGAAAATGAATCTTGATAAAGAATGGGATGGGAGAGGGAGCGGGAGATGGGATGGTTGTGGGTGGGAGGGAGGTTATGGGGGGAAAGCCAGTTAATCCAAAAGTTGTACTTTCGAAATTTATATTTATTAAAGAAAACTTTAAAAAAGATGAAATTGGAGTAGAGAAAACTCTAAAGAATGTAGGAATCGCGTATCTAGTATCTAATATAGATATGATAGTCGTTATCTTTAGAACTGAGAGAACAACCTCTATCCACACTTCCCACCCAGTGTTAAGATCCAGACTGAGGACAGAGCCAGCAGAGACTTATGCAATAGCAAGAATAACGCTGTAATGCCTTGCAGGCAGAACTTGTTGAAATGCCAAACTTGGGAAATTACCAGAACTCTGCCCTATGGAGCTTAGTAGACACCCACCCCTTGGAATCTGCCCTCTAGGATTGTGTGACAAAGATGTTCACAGTGAGATATCTCACCAGAGGCACCCCACCACAAAACCACCAGAGGGAGGGTGCCAGGGGAAGCAGCCTAGGACTTCAGAGACTGTGCTTGGAGAGAACTACAATCGCAGGAGCAGCCTACCTAGTAAGCATGGCAGAAGAAGGAAGCAAAAACCTTTCTTCCCACACTGTCTTTCTAGTGCCTGCTGATGACAAAGCTTCTGAGTGCCAGCTGACAAAAGAAAAAATATGTAAATAGCCCAGATCCATTTTCACAATGCAGTCCATAAGGGTCAATTTGAAAATGATAACAAATTGATGAAGTGGCACCACTTCCCTGCTGCTTCCTTGACTAGTGTAGATAAGAGGGAAATTATTGAAATGTGTATGAGGGTACTTAGAAATTTATGGAGGGGCCTGAGCTTTGGGATAGCAGGTAAAGCAATCGCCTGCAGTGCCCGCATTCCATATGGGTGCCGGTTGGAGTCCCGGCTGCTCCACTTCCTGTCCAGCTCTCTGCTACAGCCTGGGAAAGCAGTAGAAGATGGCCCAAGTCCTTGAACCCCTGCACCTTCGTGGGAGACCCAGAAGAAGCTCTTGTCTCCTGGCTTCAGACTGGCGCAGCTCTGGCCGTTGTGGCCAACTGGGGAGTGAACCAGCGGATGGAAGAACTCTCTCTCTCCCCCCACTTCTCCTTCTCTTTCTGTGTAACTCAAATAAATCAATCTTTAAAAAAATACAAAAAAAACTATACCATTTGTTAAATTTAATCCTTGCAGCTTCAAAGGCAGCTTCCTTAAAACAAACCCATTCATCCATAAAACTTGTAAGTAAAGGGCAGATATATGTTAGCAGTTCTCAAAGTTAACAAGGTTGAATGGGAAAAATAGCAAGTTAAGCACACACTACACAAGACTGATGAATCTCAACTATTTTAATTTTGAGTACCATGCTCATAAGAGAATAACCAACAACATTAACAGTAAAACTGGGACATATGAGTGATATTAATTCTGTAGTGGTCACCATTAAATCAAAAGCATCTTCTTGTTGAGCCAGAGAAATAAAAGATGAAAAGAATTTCTTGTTGAAAAAATCTGACTGCATTTTTAGTCATTAACAACACAAAATTGCTTTTATATGATTGATAGGGCTACAGTATGTCTTTTCCTAATTTCAGAGTCTTCCATTAACAAATCAAATGCATGGGGGGGTAATTTTCACATTATAGTTTGAAGTAACATTGGTGGCCCAAACAGATAATGAAGGCATTGCTATATAATGGGGAGGGAACAGGTGAACGAACATATAATAAACATTGCTCAAGAATCTCTGCAATTTTCAAAGTTATTTGCTCATATCCTCAAGACTTCTTGATTGTGCCTTTGTCTTTTCCATCTCAAGGTATTCTTTTCATAAATCAAGGGCCAAGGTTTTCTCTGCTACCTGTCTGGAGGTTGAGCTGCAATAGGATAAAAAAGAAACTAGGGAGTTAAAAGTGGCAATGAAAGCAAAAATTTGTTTTTGACCTTAGAGTACTTTAAAAGAATTATTTTGTAGAAAATAGTGGATTTAATGACCCTTGAAATCTTCTAACTCTTGCCCAAAAAACTACCATGAATATCTTATAATCACAGGGATAACATTACTTTCTAAAATACTAAGATGAAATCACAGTAATGCTCATTTTGTAAAATAGGTGATACTAATATTAGATTAATACCAGGCGTCTTCAGAAGATTTATAGAAAATTCACACTATCTTTGTAATCCCATTTCTATGAATTTTTTGAAATACTCTTATAGAATATTTAATATACTTGACCCCTATAGTTCATGTTATTTTAATATATATAATTATTTTAAATATTTAGTTATAGACTCTGATTCTTTATCACTTTATGGCTGCATGATCATAAAAAGCCTACTCTGTGTAGTCTCTCTGTAAGAGGGTAAAAAAGGGGGTCATAGGAGTATACTAAGAGGCTACACTTTCAAAGTCACCATGAAGTATTAAGTTGGCTCAGAACGGCTTGATTACTTTCTGAATGGAATATGAAGACTGGGTACAAAGAGTGACCTCAGGGTAGGAAAGAAAGGAGAAAGCAGTGAACAACAATTCTTACTATATTTTTGGTATTTGCAACTTCAAAAACTCTGATTCTGCAACTCTGTGTGTGTGTGTGTGTGTGTGTGCGTGTGAAGTGATGAGATGGGGCAGATCATGAAATTAAAAACAATGTATAGGAAAAATACTTATGTTACAAATGGACTTATGTGGGTCAGAACATATTGAGATTCAATGATGTGTAAAAAATAAATATTACAGTAGTCATACTTACTATTCCATAATTTCCTTCTTTCCCTATATAACACTATTCAAATTGCCTTCACCTGAAACTTACTCTTTTATTACTGCTACATTCTTATCCTCATGATTCATTTAACTGAGGAATTCTACTGCATTGTATCAACATTCCCTATCCAATAAACATCTCAGTTAATCCAGGTATCTTTAGAAGGGTTTGGTTGACATGATTCATAAGAGTCATAAACTTTATCATATGTTTTTAATAATTTCACACTTATTTTGTTTGACACCCCTACATTCAAAACCAAACAATAATTTTGAAAAATGTAGTCTACTACTTGTCCCTGTAAGCATATAAAATGGTATATATTTGGATACAGATGCCTAAGGTTATTTCAAACCTGACAACCATTGCAAAAATATAGATTGTACAGCTATAGAATGTACAATTTCCATATTTGTGTCAATGCAGCAAAAGTTTCTGGACCTTAAAATTCTAGTGAAATGCTCCCTGGGGAAAGAAAATCCCTATTCAGTCAATTATGTATAGTTTACTGAATGACAATACTAAAATTTCCCTGAGTTAGTCTCTATGAATTTCTGAACTTAAGCTTATGTGGTCTGATTTTCTCTACCTGCTATATATGATATATCATTCATCCTGTTACTAAAATTGTGGTGGCTGGGCTGAAGAGCCTTGAGTTGTCATGGAAAATACATGATCTTGAAATTCCTAAAGAAAGAAAACCAGTGGAGCAAATTTTCTACAGCAGGGGCAGTAAAAATGATGGTCACTAAACTTAGGGTAACTGTTTCTCTTTTGGATTGCTTACTGGGATCTTTGTAGATTAGTGTTTGGCTCAATTTGGAAACCACACGTGGTACAGATAAAGGGAGATGCCCACATTCAATTGGAGACACTGATCTTTTATCAGATCAACAATTGTTTTCTCTCAAATTTTTCAGAGAGCAATAGACAGGTCACATTGTGGGCAGAAGCTTTTTGACTTGTTCAATACACATTTACTTAGTTATATTCTATTTGAGGTCTTTAATTAACTCATCCCAAAAGGGAAATCCAATTTATTTCACTCTATCTCAACTGAGCACTTTGAAGAATCTATCATATCTACCAATGAATCCAGCAATAGAAGACCATGGAAGCATTCTAGTATTACCAAGAAATATAATCAAACTGATATATAAAAGACTTTGTGGGTAGGTTTGGTATGCAGGTAGTACCAAAGTAGTTAAAACAATTAACAGACCTTGAGCATGTAGCCTGACTCTCTGGAAAGCAGGTGGTTTTGTCAGATCTTAGATGAAAAACCCCTAGAGAACAAATCTTCCACTGTAAGAAAACATAGCACACTTCTAAAATGCTAAGAATGGAAAAACTATTTCTTTATGTATAAAATATTTAATAAGCTACCTGGTAGGACATTGCCTTGATTATTTGGAACATGTGGAAAGTATATTTACCTACCTAAAGGTAAATCATAACTAAGATTAAGTTCAATGAACATAAAGGCAAAAAATTGAATTTCTTAATGTATTCCTATGGTTATATGATTAGGAAAAAAGTGATGCACTGGGAGGGCAGTTTAAAATGAAATTTCAACAACTTTTAGCTACTTTAGCCAACCTCTTTCTGAAGGTATTTTATTGTAATGTTAGCCTCTCTTGAACTAAGATTTACTTGTAAGCTTTCTCAAATATTCAAGATAATTAGAAATCAAAGCATGTCTTCTGTTTAATTTTTGAAGCAATTATTAGAGGTGCTAATTTAAGATAATTTTGGAGCAAAAAGAAGGACATATTTGATTGGTACATGTTAAGATATTTATCACCAGAAATGCCCATATAACTCCATTTCTATAAGACTCTGGTTATATTAAATTATTTAAGATTATACTATCTTCTTCTTCAGCATCATAATTATTCTTGTTCTTTAAAAGATCTACCATTAAAAAGAAATAGTCACCTCTTTAAATGACGCAATTCTTTGAAATCTTTCAAGAAATTAAACTAATAATATCACTGAGTGTTTTTAGTTATAAATAAAAGCCATTTGCACAGTATATCTATAAGAAAGACTAATTTTTCTCTTGAATGTGAAATTATATTATTTATTTATAAGTTATATAATTTTTGCATAACCTATTAAATGTCACTAGGCTGTTAGTAATGTAGTGGTAATACCACTATGCATGAAAGTCAGTATTAACCTTTACAAAAAGAAAGATAATTTCAGGAGTGAGGAACGTATTTGGTTATTTCTGACAAGTATAACAAAGAATGATAAACCACATATACACATTTCTAACTATTTTAAATACACTAGTGATATGTTGTGATCTGAACATATAAAATAATTTTAACAGCAGGCATTTGGCCTAGTGGTTAAAACACCAGTTAAAATGCCCACATTTCACATCAGAGTGCCCGTTCAATTTCTTGCTCTGGCTCCTGAATCCAGTTGCCTGCCAGTGCTGACTCTGGGAAGCAGTGGTGATAGCTCAGGTGATTGGGCTCCTGTCATCCACAAGGAAACCTGAATTAAGTGCCCAACTAACAGCTTCAGTCCCAGTCAAGGGCCTGTTGTGAGCATTTAGTGAGGAAACCAGCATTTTGGGAGCTCTCTCTCTCTCTCCCTCTCTCTCTCTCTCTCCCTCTCTTCCCCCCCCTTCACTTCTCAAATATATTTTTTAAAACCTCAGTAATATTTAAAAATAAATACATAAATAAAAATTTTCTAACCATTCTAGAAACTCAGTGAAATGACATTTCCTTTGTTTTCATATAGCTTTTACGCCCAAATGGACACTTGTTTTCTGTTAAGTAGACTATGAAATATTTAGAGGGCAGAAACTATGTTTTTCACTTGGTTTGTATGTATTCTGAAACTTTTCCACTCTGTTTAATTATTAAGTACCCATGGAAAGAATGAATGAAGATAGAACAAATGGCATGACTATATATTATGATGTTGAGGTGACTGTTTTTGTTCACTTAATGGTTAGTAGAAATTTTTATTCTTTTTAAAGTGAGCTTCTCTCACTTGTTAAATTTTGTGAATAGATAGCACCCCTATTCTCTCTATTACAGTTATTTGTGATGGACTTATATATACATGGATGTAATAAATGAGGAAGATAATGAAATACTAAAGCTCTAAGGAAAGGCAATCATCCATTCTTCCATTAAATGCTTTGTTAGTGAGGGCATACAAAATGTATGGTTTCTCAAGATATTCATTGATTTATTGTCAAGTTCTGTCCATCTCCAATGAAATAAGTTAAGTAGTTGCAGATATGTCCATTATTTAGTCTCACTAAAAAAGCTGGAGCACATGTACCTAGGCATGGTTTTTATTTGACGGATATTCAGCTGAGGTAAGTTTTATTATTATATTTTGAGGGAATCAATACCTTCCATTTGAAAAATTTGATTATTTTGTACGAGAAAATAGTCTACTTTGTGGATAGTTTTCATCTACAATCAAGACAACGTCTTACACTCCTGGTTAGGAAACAAAGTTCTTAGATACCATGGTTTGAACTGCAAAATGATAGCTACATTTCTTAAAACTAGTAAGCTAAAACTTATCATAGCCATATTTTATTTAATTCAGTCTGAAACACAAAAGCTATAAAATAAAACGTTTTAAATGCTTTCATACTGCTGCAAAGTTTCATTTGCAAAAAGCAACTGGGAAAACACATCTTTTTTCTAATATTAAGGTTTTTACCTGAGCAATATGATTTTTATTAATTTTAATTAGCCAATATTAGCCTTAAGTTTACATAAGAAAATGCTGTAAAGCCACACTAGGTAAAAAGAAAAACATTAAGGAGATATCAATTTTGTACTTTCATTTTGGTTATAAGAATTTGTGCTCTAAATATGATAAGAGTCGGAGAACTCAGAGGGCTTCCATAACCTTGGAAACTCATGACTGGAACATAGGGAGATTGCTGATGCCATAAACAGGAGTGTCGATTTGTAAAGTCAACAACAGGAGTCACTGTGCACTTACTCCTCATGTAGGATCTCTGTCCTTAATGTGCTGTACACTGAGAATTAATGCTATAATGAGTACTCAAACAGTATTTTTCACTTTGTGTTTCTATGTGGGTGCAAACTGTTGAAATCTTTACTTAATGTATACTAAACTGATCTTCTGTATATATAGAAAACTGAAAATGAATCTTGATATGAATGGAAGGGGAGAGAGAGCGGGAAAGGGGAGGGTTGCGGGTGGGAGGGAAGTCATGGGTGGGGGGAAGCCATTGTAATCCATAAGCCGTACTTTGGAAATTTATATTCATTAAATAAAAGTTAAAAAAATAACAGTTTGTACTATGTGTATGCATATGAATGTATAATACATGTGTATGTTGTATAATATTTGTGAGTATATACCCATATACATACTGCTACATATATAGAAAGAGAACAAGGACTTCTAAAAGTTTGTGGGAAACTCAATTAAAAGATAATTATGTTGACTTAACAATTTGACACTCTTGTTGGTGGCATCAGTAATCTCCCTAGGCTCTAGTCATGGGTTGCCAAGGCTATGGAAGCCTTTTGAGTTAGCCGACTTCGATCTTATTTGGACAGGGTCATGGTCAAGGTGGAGGTTCTCTCCTCCCTTCAGAGAACGTTACCTCCTTCTTTCATGGCCCATTCTTTCTACTGGGATCTCACTTGCAGAGATCTTTCATTTAGGTCCTCTTTATTTTTTTTTCCAGAGTGTCAAATAGTTAAGTCCACAACAATTTGTGTACTTACTCCTCCTGTAGGATCTCTGTCCTTAATGTGTTGTCCAATGTGAATTAATGCTATAACTAGTACTGAAACAGTATTTTACACTTTATGTTCTGTGTGGGTGCAAACTGATGAAATCTTTACTTAATATATACTAAATCAATCTTCCGTATATAAAGATAATTGAAAATGAATCTTGATGTGAATGGAATGGGAGAGGGAGCGGGAGATGGGAGGGGTGCGGGTGGGAGGGAAGTTATGAGGGGGGGGGAAGACACTGTAATCCATAAACTGTACTTTGGAAATTTATATTTACTAAATAAAAGTTTAAAAAAAAAGAAAGGTTAAAAAAAGATAATTATGTGGCAATTTAAAAAATTAAAAAAAATAATTTGTGCTTCATTTTTAATGAACAGCTACATTCAATCATATATTCTAGTGGAAAATGAAATAATTATTCCAATTTTCACTTTTATGCACACAGACACTACAATCCAAATTAAGTGTATTTGTTTACCATGACTAATGAAGTATAACAAGAATAAAATCAATGCCTACCAAATAAATTATGCCTCAATGACAACACATCAGTAAAATTTCATCAAAAAGAACATTATTTACTGCTGTCAAAAACAGTTTATCAAAAACTTAACAATCTTAATTTGCGCATGCAATTCAGAGTGCCAAAAGGAAACATTTGATAAGTATGCATTACTCAAAAAAATTTTCAAGTGATTTTTGGGAGAAATTATATGAAGAGCACACTTTAATTCCAAAGGGGTTCTTTGTTCTGTCATATCATGTCACCAAAATAAACATCTAATTCTATGTACTTAAATGAGAGATTAGAATATCATAGCTATTTCAGACAGCCTTCTTAATAAAATTAGATTTTTAAGATTGATTTCTTTTAAATGGCTTGCTCCATAGTATTTAAGGTCATTTGTGTTTATTCTTTCTCTGCAGGTAGAGCAAAAAAAAAATCAACACTAAGCCATGTATGTTCAAGATGAGTTAGGCAAAAATTTTCTGGGTTGTCTGTTACCAGATTTATCTTTATGAGCTATGTAACCCTTGACTGAGTACTAGACCAGACAGCCAAAGCGTGATCAAGGTCTTTTTGCTATTTTCCAACTGTATAGAAGGTTGATCTTTCAAATGGAAAACCATATTGCTTGCTCTAGGAATTGAAGCATAAATTGAAGCATAAATAGCAATACTGGACACTTTGTATTCTGTATTCCATGGCCTGCATATCTCAGTAAGTAAAAAATAATTGTGGACCCTATCCAATGACCTAAACATTGAATTACAGGAAATGAAGAAGAAATTGAAAATCTACATTATGCAAACTTACCTTAAAAAACTGTTTCACAGCACCTGATGATATGGCAAACTTCACAACATCTGGTGGTTCAGCTTCCACTATAATGTCAAAATTAGGGAGTGGAATGTTTGGATTGGGGTGAATCTTTAAATTGGCAAGATCCTTGATACCAATGGGATTCTGGACCTTAGAGATGTCTGTACAAAAACCAGATTCCCTGGCATCAAGGGCATCCTTGGATCTAGTGGTGTGCTTAAAGCTAGCAGAATCCACGGAATCAGCTGGGTCTTTCAAGTGAGTACAAAATTTGTGGTCAGAAAAAATTGTGTAATTTGATGTACCATAAAGTTTAGAGGAAGTCAAATTTTTAGGAGTGGAAGAATAGTTAGCACTAGTGGAAAAAGTATGGGAGTTTCCATCCACAGTATTGGAAATAGAGGAACTAGAGTTGATTTCTAAATTGGGTTCAAGGAGATTATTAAAATTGCTGGTATTAGTAGAACTATGAGCATTATGAGTATTTATAGCAATATAATTGGGGTTGATGACAAAGTTGGAGCCAATGAAATGAGAAAATTTGGGGATATGGTTAATATATGAGGCAATATTGGTGCCAGCTGAATAGCTAGGGCTAATAGCACTACTGTAATTAGTAGTATTGCTGGTGTCAGTGGCATTGGAGGTGCTAGCTGTAGAGCTCAATCTGGTTACATAATTAGTTCTAGAAATATAGTTTGGGTTGACTACAAAGCTAGAACCTACTGCATGGGTAAATCCTGGGACATAGTCTTCATCTGAGTTATAATCTGGGGTAGCTGCACAGTTGTGGCCAGCAGCACTGGTGGGTCTTGTACTATAATTGGGGTCAGCATCAATGTTAAGATAAATAGCACTATTATGACTAGTAGCATTACTAAACCTCTCATTATAGTTAGAATCAAGGTCTTTGGGAGGGCTAGGGCTATTGTTGGGGTCAAAGCCAGTATTGTTGGAGTCAAGGCTGTTGTGAGTCAATCTGACATTCTGAGGCAAAGGGCCAATGTTGCAGAAAATTTCATGGCCTGGCCAACTGTCATTGCTAGGGCCAGCATCACTGTCGGAATCAGAAGTGCAGTCTTTGCCAGTCTCACTTTGTTGTTCAGAGTTGTAGTTTGGATTAGTGCCATCATTAGAGCTGGAAGTATTATCACAATCAATATTATCTAGGCCAAAGGAATAATCTGAACTGCTTGTGTATGTGTCTTCTTCAGCATCAGTGCTATATTTGGAGTCCGCATCATTATTAGTAGCATTATCAGTGTTAGGATCAGGTTCACTATTGGGATCAGTTCCATTATTAGGGTCACCATCATTGCTGGAATTAGATTCATTTGTACGGCCAGCATCACCACTAGGATCAGATCCACTGTCAGTATCAGCATCATTTTCACCATTACTATCTTTGGGATCAGAATCATCAGGGTCAGACTTATCTTTGGGATCTTTCTTATCTTCAGTGTTGTCTTCATTTTCAGGGTCTGTTTCATCATCATCATCGTCTTCATCATCGTCTGTCTCGTTCTCAGTACCTGTTTCATCATCATGATCTATCTGACCTTTGGGAAGAAGTTTCTTTTCTGTGCTGGCCTTATCTTTGAGATTTCCAGTACTGACCAGTTTAGTCTCATTATCAGGAATGGCCTCATTTGGGGGTTCTCCAGTAAGGTTGAACTTGCCCTCACTTTCAAGTCCAGTGGCACTGCTGGCACTGATGATTCTGTCTGGACCAGGGAGATTATGGCAGTCCATGGTATCTGGGGGATTCATGGGAGAGATCTGAGTAGAGTCCATGAGATTTTGTACAGCTGAGTGACTTTCATAATGTAAATAAGAAATTGAATCCACAGAATATATAGAATCTTCCCTGTGTGGAGGACAGCAGATGTCCACATGATGCCTAGGTTCTAGGGATGGAGATAATGGGCTGCTGCAAGAAGTTTTGTGGTGTCTATCTGATTTGGGATTCAGATTCAGAGAATATTTAGATTCCAAGGAAACTTGGAGATGTAAAGGACAATCAGAGAATGAATCATCATCAGAATTTGTAACACATTTATGATAAGGATAGTCACTGATTTCCATGAAACATTTGGGACATATGTGTGTGTTATTTCTTTGAGTTGTAGAGCGTAAAACAGACCTAGGGCTTATAGAAATTGGTTGATTGTCAGGTACTGAAATATCCGATGTATAAGCCTCAGTACTTAGGAGATGAATAGTATTCACTGAAGATGCAGAACTCTGAAAACTTTGTGTGTATCTGTAATCCTTGTTATGGCTTCTATAGACAGAAATCTTGCGGCTGGCATTTCTGTGATGCTTGTTATCCTTCAGTGTGAATGGCTCTGAAGAAAGGTTGTGACTGTGCATTTCCTTTAACATTTGCTGGGATTTTTGGTTGTCACTGACAGTTGGAGACATCTCTTTGAACCTCACAAACTTGTCATCACTCAGGTATCTCACAGGTTGACTTCTGGAAACTGAAAGAAAAAATGATGAGCAAGAGTAACCAGATATATAATAAAGCATAACTTTGAGCTCACATTACAACATAAATCAGTGCAAAAGAAAAAAATGTATAATTTCCTTCAATATATTATTGTGAATGTTATTTGATATTTCAAGAGGAGGTCAGAATTCTAAATTTTCTACTCAAGTAGGTATCATGTTGAGCTTATTAAGATGTTAAAAATGAATCATAGTCATTTATCTCAGATGTTTATACTTTTCAGATTCAGAGAGTTTACTTTTAGAAAATAACTTTCTATAATAGAATTCATTGGAATTATTTGGCTGAAATAAAATTTTGTTCCACAAAGCTTGGTTACTGCAGATCTATATTACTTTAGAATTTTACTTTGAGAAATTTATTTTTTCCTGAAATATAATGCCTATGATTTATAAATCTCCCTGTTTGAAGACAAAGGTTTCTTGGACTAGATATGTCAAAATACTAAGTTTTCTGATACTAAATTTAATACAGAGATCAATTCTATAGCTATCAAGAGCTCACTGGCACATGATTTTGGAAATTTAGTTATTTACCAATATCTTAGCTTTAAAATTGAACTAAATATTCAGTAAATGTTATTATGAGATAACCTGAGATAACTTATTTCCAGGGAAACAGGCAGAAATGAAATATAAATGAACATTACTTATTTTTAAAACATAAGATTATTTCCACCACTCCTCTTAACTGCTAAGAACACTTTTTAAAGGTTTGGCATCAAACAAAAAATTCTAATTGGGAAGGAGTCTAAGAATGCTTAATGGCAAGTGACTTCATAGAAAAAGAGATATGCCTTCTCAGAAAATTTTCGTTAAGGTCAACATGATTTCTTACGAGAAATTTTTAACTGCATACACATCCTTGGGATGCCGGCACTGCAGGCGGTGGCTTAACCCACTATGCCACAGCGTTGGCTGCACCCTATGCATTTTTAATACAGAGATTTCTAATTTGTGATGCCTGTTCAAACTGTAAGTCAGGTGGGACGATGGGTATGAAATTGAACTGAGTTCCCAAACAGTGCCTTGAGTGCAAATACTAGGTATCATCAGGCCCCAGCCTCCTAGCCTCCCTCCCTTAGCTTAACTTACTAAATTGATGGAGTGGTACAGCCAGACTACAGGGTTCTAATCAGGGTGGGGAACATCTGGATCAAAGACCATATAAGGACCATGAAATTATTTGCTCTGACCCTGCCAAGGCACTGCAGGCAGGACTCAAAATGCAATAAATCTATAGGAGGTTAATTTTTAAGTTAATTTTGTATGGCCTGTGAATAATGTTATAAATATCAAAATGTCCCTTGGCAGAAAAAAAAGGTTCTCCACCCCTGGGAAGTTTCCTGGTACAGAGCAGAAAGGAACTGCTATCTGCATGTAGCCCCCAGGCTGACTGAAGCCCGCATGACTATCATAAAAATTCCCTGAAGAGTATGGAACTGCAAACCCTCCAAAAGCTCGGACATGAGCTGAACAGGTAACCAGACCAAGACTGTGATTCCAATCAGCTCCTCATTTTCTAGCTGGAAGCCAATATGCAGATGTTCCTATCCTTTATGCCTCTTATTCCCAACTTCTCCTCCCTTGCAGCCTCCTTAAAAACTCCAAAGCACCCTTATTCAGCAGGACAGTAGCTCTTAAGATGGAAGTCTGGGGCTGGCACTGTGGTACAGCGGGGTAACACCCTGGCCTGAGGCATCAGCATCTCATGTGGGCGCTGGTTCAAGACTTACTGGGTTGTGTTCCCAAAGGAATCCGTGTGCCCTCTAGGATTGTATTTGTGTGTGTATTCTGAAACTGCGCCTGCCTGCAAGTCTTGGAGGTTAGCTCCGAATTGCTAACCAGAGTTGTGCTATGCCTGAATCGATGCCTTGGGCCAGTTTAAAAAAATAATGCAGAAATTGAAGGCAGATACCATCTGTACAGTCTGACTTTCTAAGAAAGGCCTTTCTGGTAAAAGATTTATTTATTTATTTATTTATTTATTTATTAGAAACTAAAGGAAGCCTATAGGGCATAAATAGATCAAGATACCTTAACTAAAGGTTACTGGGGCAGACTGTGGACAAAAGAGTTAAAATAGAAAGGCCAGCTTGAAAAGTTGATCTTCAGCTGGTATCTGGGTACTTGGATTCAGGAAGGATTCTCAACATTCCCAGAACTCATAAGAGAATCTCATTATACCTAAAGTGTTTATACAAGAAAAAGTTATTCATGTTAAGCATAGTAATTCCTTTTTCAGGTCTAGGATTTTGGTATATGCTAGACAGAGGGTGCCTACATGAGCAGCCTCAAGTTTAATAAAAAAGTAATGGGAGGGGCCAGCGCTGCAGCATAGCAGGTAAAGCCGTCGCCTGCAGTGCCAGCATCCCATATGGGCATCAGTTTGAGTCCTGGCTGCCCCACTTCTGATCCAGCTCTCTGCTATGGCCTGGGAAAGCAGTAGAAGATGGCCCAAGTCCTTGGGCCACTGCACCTGTATGGGAGACCCGGAAGAAACTCCTGGCTCCTGGCTTCGGATTAGTGTAGCTCTGGCTGTTGCGGCCAGTTGGGGAGTGAACCAGCAGATGGAAGACCTCTCTATCTGTCTCTGCCTCTCCTTCTTTCTCTGTGTAACTCTGACTTTCAAATAAATAAATAAATCTTTAATAAAAAGTAATGGGCACTAGTTTTATTGAGTTAAGGCATGACAGTGTGAGGAGATCCATGAACCCACTCATCAACTGAATTTGTGAAAATTGAAAAATCAATAATTTCTTGTGTCTGGAAGTGGTTCAAAAGGCATGTAACAAAAGAAGAAAAAATCTATTCAGAAAATCTACTAAAATTCAGTAATAAAATAGAGCCCATAGTATTTGAAATAAGAGTTCTTCCTCCCTTCCACCTCCCAATTCAGTAAGATGGGAATGTCTCAGAAATTCACAGACAAGAACACAAGGCTTCCTTTCTTCAAAACTTCCAGTTGGAAGATTTTCTTCTCTGGAGAAGCAGGACATCTATTTCTTATCTTGCCTTCATGTAACTGTTGCTAATGCTATCTTCCAGGAATATGTAGCCAAAAGGTGAGTGTTCTCTTCCTGCTAGTCTCCCATTCACGGAATGGGGAATGGGGACTTTAACTTGAGTATGGGAATGAAGACATCCCAATAGCCTTTTCCACAGCTCAAAAGGCAGTAGTTCCATGTCAGGAGAAGTAAACCAGAGACCTGAAGTCACTTTCACCTCCTTTGAGCACTCAGTTCAAAAAGCAGTAATGTCATTATTTAGAGAGAAACTAACTTGCCATTGTCCCCACCACTGGCTCTAGAGACCTTTCTTAGGGATTTTGCTTCTAATTGCTTCCCAAAATAATTGATTTTATTTGCAACAAAGTTAAAGATTAAAGGTGCTTCTATGGTTTGATTGTGTCCTTTTTAAAATTCATGTTGATATTTAATCAGTAATGCAACTGAATTAAAGCATGTGCCTTTTAAAAGATGGTTAGACCACGAGGGTTTTGTCAATGACATGGACAGGATTAACAACATTATAAAAGGGTTGGAGGGAAGTAACTAGGCTCCATTTTGTCCTTCCACCTTCTATTGTATGAGGATACAGCATTCATGCCTTCTAGAGGAAGCAATATCCAAGACGTCATCTTGGAAAACAGATGTCAGCCTTCACTAGACTTTGAACCTGCCAGGGCTTTGATCTTAGAATTCTCAACCTCTAGAACTATGAGTAATAAATGTATGTTGCTTATAAATGACCGGGTTTAAGATATTTTGTTATAGCAGCAGGAATGGACACAGGTGCTATCAGAAACAGTAGAAATTGTGGTGAATAGCAATTGAGAGTGGATTGGTGGATTCAGTGAAAACAAAGGCTAAAATATAGTTGAGAGAATCAGTGGACTTCTTGGAAGAGCACTCTTGGAGTCAGAAAAATATCAAACATTGGTCACAGGACCTGTTCTTTGAAGGGGAACTAAATTTTATTAAATTAGTCTGATTAGCATTTTATGCTCCAGAGCATTGTAGAAAACAATAGAGCAATCAGTGATCAACTAGTGGATCAAGGCAGCTGAAAGTTGCCTGGGAAAGAGATGTTGAGAAACCTGCCATAATTACTGTTATCCCAAGGTGACTATGGGTAACCCAAAGCTGTACCTTTCTGAGGAGCAAGAACAGAAGCTTGAAACCTTTGGGGAAAAATAGATATCACTGAAATAACCCAGCTAGTCACTAAACAAATAATCAGGCAAATAACAAGCCTCAAAGTGGGGGATCAATATCTATATTTGCCACAATATTTAGCAAAAATATTCAATTTCCAACACAAACTTGTAACACGTGCAAAAAAACCCAGAAAGTATAATTTTTATATAGGGAGAAAAGAGGCACTGGGAATTCTTATTCCCTGTGAGAGTAACCAGATGTTGGATTTAATAGAGAAAGACTTCAAAGCAGCATTTATTAATGTTAAAAATAACTAAAAAAAGCCATAGTGAAAGAAGTAGAGACAAATGTAGTGATAATGTCACTCTCAAACAACCAATGAGATAAAAATAAGAGAAAGAAATTATTTAAAAGGACCAAATGGAAATCCTGGAATTTAAAAAGCATAATGTTGAAATGAAAAATTCACTGGAAGAGTTCAACATTAGGTTCAAATTGGTAGAAGAAAAAAATTAGCAAGCTTCAGATAGATTAGTAGATATTGTGTAATTTGAAAACCAGAGAAAAAAGAATGGAAAAAAGTAAACAGAACCTCTGACAACTGTGGGACATCATTAAGCACACCAATATTTGCATTTTGGAAGTACTAAGACGAGAAGAGAAGAGAAAAAGAAAAGAAGAGAAAAGAAATAGAAATTCAAATAGTCAAAATATTTGAATAAATAATGATTGAAACTCTACAAATTTACTGAGAAACACTAATTTGCTCAAGCAGGAAGCTCAATGAATTCCAAATAGGATAAATACAATAAAATCTATACATGTACATATCATACTAAACAAATTAAAGCCAAAACCAAGATGAATATCTTGAAAGTAGCAAGAGAAAAACACTTCAACCCTCTCAAGGAAACTCAACAAGATTAACAGCTAACATCTCAGCAGAAAAAATATAGTAAAGGCTGGAAGGTAGTAGAATAACATAATCAAAGTTCTCAAAAGGGGAATGAAAGGAAACTCAGAATCTGATATCAGGCAAAGGGACCTTCCAAAAAAGAATATGAATAAGAGATATTCCAGGATAAACACAGAGAATTTGTTGTTAATAGACCCACCTAATAAGAAATAATAAAGGGGTTTTTGCAGGTAGAAAGCTAGTAACCCCAGAAGATAAAACAAAATGTACTAGTAAAATTGAATATGTAATTATGAAAAGTAGTATAAAATCATTTTTATTTTACTCTTATTTAAAAAGTAATTTTGCAGAATAATATCTTTTTAAAAACTTTTTTTAAAAATTTTTATTTGACAGATATAGTTAGACAGTGAGAGAGAGAGAGACAGAGAGAAAGGTCTTTCTTCCATTGGTTCACCCCCCAAAATGGCCGCTATGGCTAGCGTGCTGTGCCGATCCAAAGCCAGGAGCCAGGTGCTTCCTCCTGGTCTCCCATGCGGGTGCAGGTGCCCAAGCACTTGGGCCATCCTCCACTGCCCTCCTGGGCCACAGCAGGGAGCTGGACTGGAAGAGGAACAACCGGGACTAGAACCCAGCACCCATATTGGATGCCGGCATGGCAGGTGGAGGATTAACCAAGTGAGCCATGGCACTGGCCCCAGAATAATATGTTTTAAATATATTATAGGACCTAAATCGGATAGAAATGCAATGTGTTTGTTAATAGCAACACAAAAGAGACGGGTGAGAAAAAAAGTTTAACTGGGCTAAGGAAATTACTTCACTTGTTAAATCCACAAAAACAAGTTAAGGGTACCTGAAATGACAAGTTAATATAACAATAGCTATAAATATATATTTGAGCTCTTTTTCTCTTTTAAATTCTTCAAACAACTTAAAATTATATAGAGTAATGTCTATAGCAATGTATGGATGGGTTTTTAACATTAACACATAAACATCACAATACTATCATAAATGGAGAAAAGAACAGAGCAATATTTGCATTCTCACTAGACTTAAGTTAGCATAAATCTGAAGGAGATTTTAGTAAGTTAAGATGCATATGGTAAGCCCTAGGTCAACCATGAAGAGAATAATAAAAAATCTATAGAAACAAGTCATGATAAAAATTAAATGCTTCATTACAAAATATTCATTTAATGCAAAGTAAAGCAGTAAAGGAGGATTAGAGGACAAAGACTTGAGACATGTAGAAAATGAAAAGTAAAATGGCACACATTAACTTAACTCTAACAGTAATCACACTAACTGTGGATAGATTAAACAATAAAACATGGGAAATATCAGGGGTGGGCATTTGATAAAGAAGTTAAGACACCTCTAGGGACACTCATATCACATATTGGAGTGCTGGGATTCAAATCCTGGCTCCACTCCGGATTCCAGCTTCTTGCTAATGTGCAACCTGGGTAGCAGCAGAAGATAACTCAAATAGCTAGGTTCCTGCAACCCATGTGGAAGACCTGGATTAGTTCCTGGCTTCTAACTTCAGCATAGCAAGCTCTGTTACTGATATTTAGGGGTGTGAACCAGTGGATGGGAAATCAATCTCTCTCTTTCTCTCTCTCTCCCCCCTTCTCATTTTCAAATAAATAAAACTAGACATTGTCAGGCAAAATAACAAATTGAGAATCAACTCTATATTTCAACACTTTAGATTAAAAGCTGGGGCTAGCATTGTGTTACAGATGTGTGTGTGTGTGTGTGTGTGTGTGTGTTTTGTGGTGCAGATTAAGCCATCTCTTGGGCTTTCATTTGTTTAGTATGATGTGTGCATCTGTTTCCTATCAGAGTGTCAATTTGAGTCCTGGCTACTCCACTTATCTTCCAGCTCCCTCCAAAAAGGGCCTAGGAAGGTGGCAGATTATGGCTCAAGTACTTGGGCCCTTGCCCCAGATGTGGGAGATGAAGTTCTGGGTCCTGGCATTGGCTTGGTCCAGCCCTGGCCATTGCAGCCACTTGGAGAGTGAATCAGTGGATGGAAGATCTTTTTCTCTCTCTCTCTCTCTCTCACCCTCCCCCCACTCCCCGTCACTCTGACTTTCAAGTAAATAAATCAATAAACCCTTAAAAATATTTAAATACTGAAAATTGTAAATTGTGTAAAATATGAATCATATAAATAGCAGCCATGGGAAAAAAGAATGGAGATACTTCAGATAACAGACATTCAGAACAAACCCTAGTACCAGAGATAAGGAGGCACATTTTATAAAGATAAAATTGACAATCTTTATCAAGGATATCTTACAATTTAGATATTGTAACAGAGCAACAAAATACATGAAGACAAACCTGACAGAAATGGAGTAGTAGACAAGACAGGAATAACAGACACTTTAATACCCCATATTCAACAACAGAATAATTAGGCAAATGATCAATGAATGAACTAAAAACTTGAAAAATCAAACTAGACCTATAGACATCAATAAAACACTCAACTCAACCACAAAAGAAAATTCATTATTCTCAACTGCATGTGGAAAATTCTCCAGTATGGACTGTAAGCTAGGTGTTGTGGTTTGGATGTGGTTTTCATTGTGATCCTCAGCGTTCCATGTGCTGGAAGCTTGGTCCATATAGGGTACAGAGTCAACTTTTGTAGTGATAAAAATTACATCTCAATAAAACTATTTGTTTTAAAAATGCTCTAGCACCTAGACTCTGGCAGACAACTTTCCATACGTGTTGTCACACCTAGTTCCCGGTGAATCTGTGTGACTCCACTGGAGTTAAGACTCTTTGAACCGGCCGGCGCCGCGGCTCACTAGGCTAATCCTCCGCCTAGCGGCGCCGGCACACCAGGTTCTAGTCCCGGTCGGGGCGCCGGATTCTGTCCCGGTTGCCCCTCTTCCAGGCCAGCCCTCTGCTGTGGCCAGGGAGTGCAGTGGAGGATGGCCCAGGTGCTTGGGCCCTGCACCCCATGGGAGACCAGGAAAAGCACCTGGCTCCTGGCTCCTGCCACCGGATCACACGCGGTGCGCCGGCCCGCAGCGCGCTGGCCGCGGCGGCCATTGGAGGGTGAACCAACGGCAAAGGAAGACCTTTCTCTCTGTCTCTCTCTCTCTCACTGTCCACTCTGCCTGTCCAAAAAAAAAAAAAAAATTAAAAAAAAAAAGACTCTTTGAACCTTATATCCAGTTTGTTAGATCTTACTCCAGGTGCATTTACCTCTGCTGATTTTACTTTTTAGTATACCAAAGCCTTGAGTACTACTGTATGGTGAGTCTAGTGAGTCCTCTGGATATTGTATTGGGACCCCTGAAACATTGGGTTATGAATAAAGGTTTTCTCAATATTAACAGACTAGTATGAAATCCTTACGCAATTTCTATTCAATATACTCACCTCTGTTACCTGTTTTCTGAACAGAGTGTTCTTCAGTTTTCTTTCCACGACCAAGTGAGGAAGGAAGGAAAATAGGTCTCCAAAAACCTAGAAACATATCAATTAGATTTAATTATTTTCCAATTACTAATAAAATAAGGTTTCTGAAAGGAAGAATTTATACTATATGATTCTGCAGTGAAAATAATTTTTCTTATTATACTATTTTTTTCAAATATACTTTTTTTAAATGGTGATCCTGTTCTAAATTTTCATGATATTTATTAAAACAATATTGAAAACTAAGTTAAAAATATACCAGCATGGGTAGGCATTTAAACCTTGCAGATAATACCCTGGTTGGAACACCCACTCCCACATCACAATGCCCCAGTTCAAGTCCCAGCTGTGACTCATTATTGTAGCTTCCTGCTAATATAGACCCTGTGAGGTAATGGTGAGGACTCAAGAAGTGGGATTCCTGTCACCCACGTGGGAGACTTGGATCAAGTTTCAGACTCTGTCTTTTGGCCTGGTCAGTCCAGTCCTAGCCATCAAGGGCATTTGAAGAGTGAGTCAGTGAGTGGAAGCTCTCACTCTGTCTTTCTCTTGCTCCCAAATACATAAAAATTTCAAAAGATATCCCATCATATACTGGTAATATATTGTCCCACATGAGATTAAGCTGGTGCTCAGTTAATTCTTTCTAAAAAATTGTAGCATGTTCTTGTACTAATAATTTTAATATTAGGGTATAAAATTGGTTAGTAAGTAACCATTAGGATGGATAATGACAACAAAATAAAAAAAAATGACAACAAAAAAAAAACAAGCAACAGACAGGATGTGTAGAAATCTGAACTCCTGTGCATTAATGGTGGGGATATAAAATTGAAATGGTGTAGCCACTATGGAAAACAGTATGGTGGTTCCTCAACATTTTAAAAGATTATATGATTCAGCAATTTCTACTGCTGTATATAAATCTAAAGAGTGGAAAACAGTGTCTCTTAGAGATATTTCCACCATATTTATAGCATCATTATTCACTTTAACAACAAGGTGGAAACAACCTAAGTGTCTATTGATGGATTAATGGATAAAAAATGTGGTATATATACTTACAATGGAACATTATTTAGCTTTAAAATGGAAGAAAATTCTGACATTTACTACAATTTGGATGAAACTCGAGGATGTTATTCAAGTAAAATAAGCCAGTTACTAAAAGCCAAATACTACTTATAGGCGGTGCCTAGAGTAGTCAAATATATAGACATTTAAAGTAGAGTTATAATTGCTAGTAGCTAAGAGGAGATGAACATTGAGGAGTTGTTTAATAGATATGCAATTTCAGTTTTGCAATATGAAAATAGTCCTGGAAGTTGATTGTATAATAATGTGAATGTACCTAACAATATTCAGCTGTACAATTAAAATAGTTAATATAACAAATTTTATGTTATGTATATTTAGCACAATTTAAAAAATTGGCTAGCAATTGTTTACGGCAGAATAAGGGGATGAACATGTGCTGATGTCAGACACAATGGAGATTCTAATTCAAAATTCCCCAAATGGTAGTACTTGGTGTAAAATTGTAAAGTATAATACAAATTCTGAACATCATTATGACTTATATAAAAGGATGAGCATAGAAGTTGAACAAATGAGTTAATGTTATCAGTGATCCCCCCCCCACCTTTTGGACCATTTTCAAGAAAGTTATTATTTTAAAAAAAAGATAATAAAAATTAAGGTGTCTTGCAACAACTGTTCATTTGTTTTTTAAAAAATTGCCATCTAGAGTCCATAGTCACATGATCAAAGAGACTTAATTCAGAGCCTTGGAGATGAGCAAGGCTGTTTTCTTCACTTCTTTTTACAGGAGAGAGAATACACAAACTGGCACCCTGGGTTCTAGTCCTGGTTGGGGAGCTGGATTCTGTCCCGGTTGCTCCTCTTCCAGTCCAGCTCCCTGCTGTTGCCCGGGAGGGCAGTGGAGGATGGCCCAAGTGCTTGGGCCCTGCACCCACATGGGAGACCAGGAGGAAGCAGCTGGCTCCTGGCTTCGGATTGGCGCAGTGCGCCAGCCATAGCAGCCATTAGGGGGGGGTGAACCAATGGAAGGAAAACTTTTCTCTGTCTCTCTCTCTCTCTCACTGTCTAACTCTGCCTGGAAAAAAAAAAAGGCAGTATATATAGCTCATTTGGGAGTGAATGTGGGATGAATAACATAAAGAACAGTTTTCTTTCTTTTTTAAAATCTTTGTTATACATATGCCTTTATTTATTAAAGAAAAGAGAAAATGATCTGTGGTAACTAATAGAGTACCAAAAATGTAATGTATAAGAGTGAAATCAGTATTTTGAATTTCAATGATTGTTTATAGCCTTTGTCTCTTCTATTGAGGTACATTGCTTTTTCTTCATACTATTTGTTGAACTTTTTACTCAATGTAGGCTTGATCTTATGAATGTAAAGTAAACTGAAAGTAGATGGTTGTAAAGATTAAGAAAGGGAATAGCAGGGGAAAGAGGAGGAAGAGTGGAAGTGAGGGCGGGAGGGAGGGTAGAGTGGGAATTATCACTATGTTCCTAAATCTACATGCATGAAATTTGTATACCTCAAATAAAATTTTAAAAAATGTTTTTGTCCTTTTAAAATCAAGAGATAAAAGTTAACTAGGGTTTGGAAATGTGGTATAGCAGATAAAGCTGCTGCCTGCAGTGCTGGCATCCCATATGTGCACAAGTTTGAGTCCTGGCTGTTCCACTTCCCACCCAGTTCTCTGTTATGGCCTGGGAGAGCAGTGGAAGATGGCCCAAGTGCTTGGGAGACCGGAAGAAGCTCCTGGCTCCTGGCTTCGGATCAGTACAGCTCCAGCCATTGCAGTCATCTGAAAAGTGAACCAGCAGATGGTAGACCTCTCTCTCTCTTTCTCTTTCTGCTTCTCTGTAACTCTGCCTTTCAAATAAATCAATAAATCTTTTTTAAAAAAGCCAACTAAAAGGAAATGACCTCTTTCTTTTTTTGTAAAGTGAAGAGAAATTTTGGATTAAGATATCTGTTTTCTGAATTGCTCATAAAATTATCTCTGGCCCAAATCTGTCAAAGGTACTTCCATTTTGAAAGAGTAATAATGCTATCAATTGAACTTGTATAATAAGCTGCTTCCAACGACCACACATATTTAAGCTTACCTTTAGGACGATTATCCTTTCTGCGAGCACCAAGCCGTTGTGCTTCATTTTCTGAGTCAAGGTGCTGCCTTTCACTGCAAATTGCAAGACTGTACTCTTTTTCGCTGTCAGAGTCTGTGGAATGTCTTTCTCTCCTTTTTTTCATTTGAAGTCTCTCACTTTCAAATTGTTGCAGACACGGTTCCTTCTGCATCTCTATCAGGTATCTTCCACTTTCAGATTCATCTTGATATTCTTTGTTTTCAGAGTCTTTTCGAAGTTTTTTGGAATTAGAATCAATTTCATGGCTCTCAACTTTATCCGGATGTTTTTGAATGTCATGCTGAAATCTTCCAGAGCTATCCTTCTGTCTTACAGACCTAAGTTGATGTCTGTTAGAGCTACTCTGGTCAGAAACCAAGTGTTCTCTTTCAGAGTCCATACAGCAACTTTCAGATTCAGACCTGAGGTCCTTAGAGAATTCTTCCAAGTCAGAGATCTGCAAGTTTTCATCTTTTATCACCACTCTCACAAAATCAGAGCCTATCTTTTGGCTTTGAGATTCTATGTCTGCTGTATTTCTTTCAGACGAAGAATCTATCCAGAGTCCCTCAGTATCAGTGCTCAATTGGAGTGATTCAGCATCTAAGAGGCATTTCATAGTTGTTGAGGCTAGCCCATATCTTTCTGTACCTGAATCCATTCTACACAGCACAGAATCAGAGGCCATCATATATCTCTTAGATCTCGTCTCCTCCTGATGTTTTTCTTCTGCCAAAAGATATATTGAAGATTCAGAAGCTGAAGCTATTCCACCCCTTTCTGTGTCTGAGTCTACCACATATCTCTCAGAAGAAGAGATAATCCAGACATTATTGGTCTCCATTAATCTGTTCTCAGATTCTATCAGGCGTTTTATAGACTCTGAGGCCATTTGGCGTTTTTCTGCCTTTGTCAGGTGTTTCACAGATGCAGAGGCCATGGCGAATTTGTCTGAGTCTGACTCCATCTCCAGTCTTTCATTGTCAGAGTCCATCAGGTATCTGTCAGAGTCAGAGTCCTCTAAGCATTTTTCTGAACCTGAGCCCACACAATATTTCAGAGAGTCAGAATCCCCCTGATGTTGTTCAACTCTTACCATGTATTGTTTTAACTCTATCAGTTGTTCAACAGAGCCTGAAGCCATTTGGTGTTTTTCTCCTTCTAGCAGGTGCTTTGCAGAGTCTGAGTCCCTTAGACATTTTTCCATGTCTGAGTCTGCTCCCCATATTATTGAGTCCAAGTCTTTTGAGTGTTGTTCTAAGCCAGAGTCTGAACCAATACCTCTATCAGAGTCAGAATCAATCAAGCATCTTTCAGAGCCAGAATCCAAAGGAGGAGTGTCACTTTCAATTATTCTTAGGTCTTGGAGACTTTTAAATTCCAAAGAAACTGCTGAGATTTCAGAACCTTTTGTATCAGAAACTTCTGTTTCAGATTTGCTTTCGTCATCATGTTGTAATATAACTGTTCTTTTATTACTTAAAGAAAAAACAAACATGAATAGTTGTTTAAATACTCATCAAATATTAGCAAACATGTTATGTCCTTTTTGATAGTCCTCTATAGGAAAATATGACATATTACATGATTTTATTTATTAGGATGAGGAAAGCAAGATACCACACTAAGCTACTTGTGCAAAATTTGAGGAATATTAGTATATGCCGATTTTACAGTCATTTTCATCTGCCCTTACTTTAACTGTTTTCAATACACTTGAAAGTAATTGCTTGGCTAGTAACTTCCTTCCAGTCAATAATCCTTATTTGGGGAACTGAATATCATGTTTAAATTGTAGTGTAAAAATAAAAATAAACCAATTATATATTCTTTTGCAAGTTAAGATTATATTTAAGCAGACTTAATTATCAGTGAGACTCACCTTGAAGTGTTGAGTCTCTCTAAAGAGAAATATTCACATCTGTAAGGTACTCTTTCACTTTGAAGGGATATATCTTGAAAGGTAAATGTAAGTTCACTTGATGAACTAGTCGTAGTTATTGCCTGCAAGGAAAAATTAATATAAAGTTGTGATTTTTCAGTTGCATTTATCATGAAACATAGTACATGCAGGAGATTAGACTATGGAGAGAGTATTGCTTCATTAGTTTCAGCTGTGCTTAACTGAAAGTCATAGCGAGAACTTCTTTCAAAGCAAAATTTCAGAATTAGTATTTCAACATAAGAGCAGGCATGTTAGATACATTGTGTGGTTTTCTTCCTAGACTCTGTTTCCATAAACATAGGCCATTCTCAAATGCCACATTCTTCTGGTACCCAGTCCCCTAGCTGTGCAGGTAAACAGTATTTAACCTGAATGTGGTTTGTTGCTCTAAAACTCATGATGAGGTTTAATTCACCAATGTAATGGTGTTGAGGTAGTGGGGCCTTTAAGAGGTAAGACCTAGTGGAAGGTAGTTAGGTCATGGAAGCTCCATTATTATGAATGGTTTAATGTTGGTCTAGTAGAGTAGGTTATCCCATAAGAGTGGTTATTATGAAAAAGTGAGCCCAGTCTTTCCCTGGTCTCTTGCTTCCTTTCTCACACAAGTGACCATTCTGCATGTAGCCAGTTCACTTTCCCACTTCTACACCATGTTGTAGAAGTACAAGGGAGTCCTTGCCAGGATGTAGGCACCATGATGTTTGGACCTTTCAACCACATGAACTGTGAGTCTAATATACTTCTTTTCCTTATCAAGTATCCAGTCTTAGATTATTTTTCTGTTAGAGCAGCACAAAATGAACTAAGATATAACCCAGATTTTGGCAGCCAGATTCTCTTTCTTGGAGATTTAGAGTTGGAATTCATAAAAATGTTTCAGGTGACTATTTGAAATGAGGACAGGTAATTCTCAGCACCATGGAAAAGCCATTTTTGTCATGTTCACCAAGTGGAACAAAGTCAATGTACAGAGAATATGAATAACAAAGCCATAAACAGAGGAAATAGAAACAAGAGATCATATGCCTATAGAGAAGCAGAGATGGCAATATTTTTATCTGGGTTCCTGATGTCTTTTCAGTTCCTGATTACAATCTCTCCTAAGTATTAATTTTTCTACTTTCAGTCCTTGAGTTCACTAAGATAATCCTAGATCCCTGAAATGAGTTCTATCACCTTTTGTCCCTCAATCAGCTGTAAGTGGGGTTCTATACCTTTCAACCAGAAAGACCTTCAAAAGACAGCAGAATTGCTGTTAATATTTTATTATTAATCCCCAAATAAAACATACACAAAAGTATGTCTTTTAGGCACAAGAGGAGTTCAAGTATAGGAGAAGAGAAAGTTGAAGAATGAGCAAGACTAATATCTATGTAAAGAAGTTTTATCTACAATCAATTTAATTAACAAGAAGTAGACTTATACTTCAATGTGTCATTTAGGTATGATATAAAGAAAAATACCCTGAACTTTTTTAACTTCCTTCCTTCCTTTTTTTCCATTCTTCTATCCTTCCTTCCTCCCTTTCTTCCCTTTCCTTCCTTCCTTTGAAAGTCAGAGAAACAGAAAGAGGGATAAAGAAATAGACAGATATCTTCCATCAGCTAGCTCATTCCCCCACAGCTGGGCTAGGCAACTCAGTTCTTCCCCATGGTAGCAGGTACCCAAGTAATTGAGCCATCACCTGTTGAACTCTGAGATTGTGTATTAGCAAGAACCTGCAATTGGAGGTGGAGCCAGGACCTAAACACAGGCACTCTCATGATGGATACAGGCATCCCAAGTACCATCTTAGCAATGGCAACAAACGGCTGCTCCACTCTAAGAGTGCCAATATACTTTAGAGTTTATTGTAATAAAAAGGTTTGGAATATCCTCTATCAGCAAGTAGCTGCCTGGTTCAAATAAGGCAACGTATAGAAGAAAAGACTCATTTTGAAAACTGATAAAGATTTATAAAATGTAAAAGTTTAAAGGATAAAAAGGAATTTATATGGCAAAGAAACATGGGAAAAATTAAAATTTCCACATGCTAGGGGAGGTTGATAGAAAATGATACATATGTTTCAATATATTGATCCAACAAATACAAACATTCAGAACTGCTTTGACTCCAGAAATACTCAGATAATTAATGGCTATTCATACGTGATTGCTCTGTCACTAGTTTTCATTATTTTAAAAGTCAAGACAAAAAGTAAAGGATGAGGGAAAATACAAGTAAATTTAATTCAGCTAGACATTATCTATGCTTAATCAAATATTTGTCTTCATAAATTGGTAACCAATGTCCTTTCACATATTTGATTTATCTATTTTTCTACTTGGCCTCCTGAGAAACTATACAGACAATGTTTCTACTCTTTTCAAAATAGTCTGAGGAAGCTCGTATTTTACTAGATTAATAAAAAATAACAGAAAATACAGTAAATATGGAATTCATGTTGGTTATTTATATTAGGTTACTGCCTAGAGCTTTGGGGTCCCTGATTATATCAAAGATTTATGTATGCTTTTTTCAGGAAACTAAATCAAAAATATCTTCCTTAGTAGGAATACTATCAAGTATATGAAGTAGCAGAAAGTTCATTATTCCTAGTAACACAACTTTCCAGAAGTGGTCCTTTAGAAATAACTTGTATTGGTAAAGTCTAAACTTCAGTTAACATCTAAAGAGAAGAAGGAATATTTACAAATTCATTAATGAGATTAATGTAAAAAATCTCTTTTACTCTAAGACAACTTTCCTGAAAACTGATTCTGTGTATTATGGTGAAATTCTTACTGAAAGAGAAAATTGTGATGAAAATCAAATCCAAATACATTCATAATAAATATCATCCAACTAACAAATCTGTAATAAGGTGTTCCTTTTTAAAGACAATTTCTTGAGTTTTCACTAAAGAACTGATTTACAGTTTTGCATCATACATTAAACTAATTTATAGTTAAGCCTGCATAGCTCTGTTTAAAGATTAATATTCCAACCTCTCTTTCATATGTGCTATTTTTACTACATCTTATAAGGCACTGTTGAGTTGTTATTATGGTACCTGTATATTTATGTGTGTGTTTCATTTCACAATCCTAACAAATTATTGCAGATAGTAAGATGAATAAATTCACTACATGAAACATTGGCTCCTGATTTGGTGACATCAGTGTCATGGTCACAAACCTGTATCTAACTATCCATTGTTCTGAAAAAAAAAAAAATGAACTCATGGAGGCATACAGGCCTTGGATTCTTATAGATCACATCAAGTGAACTCGCAGGCTCAAGAGGAATGTGAAGATAAAAAGGTTTTCGTTAATGCCTCATATTATACTTCATTTATATAGTTTTTTGCTTTGTAATCATTTTATTTGCAAAAATGTGTCATTATATAACTAATGTTAATCTTTAATGCAGTTCTACTATGAGAGGAAAGTTAGAGGAAGCCATTTGCATTTGTTCTAAGGATTTCATGGCTTAAATGGGGAAGTTGATGGGAGTATGGAAAGAAGATCATGGAAGAAATTCATTTACTTTCTAAAAGAAGTAAAGCTCACTACTCATGGGACTATTTAACAATCCTCTAAATCATCCACATAATTGCACATTGTATCTTTCCATAGAGGTTTATTTTGAAAAAGTATTATTACTAAGAGTGTCCATTTATGGCTCAGAAACAAGGAAAGAAGACAGAATATTCAGTTATTTTCAATAGGCACCCTAAGTAAATACAGCCCAAATGCCTGCAATTACCTGGCCTGGACCAGATCTAATATGGAGCAGAGAATGAACCCAGGTCTCCCATGTGGGTAGCAAAGAATCAACTACTTAAGACATTACCTGCTGCCTCCCAGGGTGTGCATTAGCATAAAGCTGGAATCTTGGCAGAGCTGGGACATGATACCAGGCATTCCAATATGAGATGCAGGTGTCTTAATCATTAGGCCAAATGCCTGCCCCTACATCAAACTTTTAAAGAAGTACTATCAATTCTTTTTATTATTATTATTATTATTATTATTATTTGACAGGTAGAGTCATAGACAGTGAGAGAGAGAGAGACATAGAGAAAGGTCTTCCTTCCGTTGGTTCACTCCCCAAATGGCTGCTACGGCCGGCGCTGCGCCAATCTGAAGCCAGGAGCCAGGTGCTGCTTCCTGGTCCCCCATGCGGGTGCAGGAGCCCAAACACTTGGGCCATCTTCCACTGCCCTCCCGGGCCACAGCAGGGAGCTGGACTGGAAGAGGAGCAACCGGGACTAGAACCTGGCACCCACATGGGATGCCAGCACCGCAGGTGGAGGATTAACCAAGTGAGCCACGGCTCCGGCCCCTTTTTAAAATTTATTTTATTTTTTTTATTTAATAGGTAGAGTCATAGACAGTGAGAGGGAGAGAGACAAAGAGAGAGAGAGAGAGAGACAGAGACAGAGAGAAAGGGAAGTACTATCAATTCTATTCATTTCTTTCAAAAAGTATTAAGAATAGGGAAAAATTTCCATTTTTTTTATAAGGCTAACATTACCCTGATAACAATCCAGAAAAAAGTCACATAAATTATACAGACACAATCGTCCTAATGAACATACACACAAATGATTAATGGGGTCATTATTGTGGTATAGTGGATTAAGCCACTACTTGCCACATTAGCATCTCATATTGAAGTAGGCAGGCATATAGCTTAAAATTGATTAGGTTTGTGAGCTAGAAGACCATACCTTCACCATGCCCCTGTGTGACCTCATGCCCTACCTGATACCTTCACCATGCCCTTGTGTGACCTCATGCCCCTACCTGGCCACACCTGGGTGCCCACCAGCCAATCAGGTTAATTAACCACTCCCCTTTGGAAGTGGGTTAAAAGCCTGGGACATGGTGTGTCCTCTCTCTTTGTTGCCCTGGCCTTTGCCAGAGGGGGACTGGCTGTAGCCCTGCACCTCCAGGGTGTGTGGCCTTCGGGCCACCCGCCCTAGGCTTCCTGGCCTAGATGCTCTTCCATGTGACTGGTTCCTGGTACTTGGTATGAACCCAGATTTACCTCTCCCTCTTAGATAAAGCTCTC